CTATAGATATGCCAAACATGGGTGATACAGTGTTTCCCCAAAAATAAGACCTACCCAAAAAATGAGCCCTAGCAGGATTTCTATGCATTTGTTAAATATAAGCCCTACCCCAATAATAAGACCTAGTGATGGGTGTGGCTATGCATTTCTGCGAGGAGGAGCGGTAAGGAAGACTGGAATACCTTTTATCTGCCACAGCTCCTTTCTCTGAGCCGGTTGCACTTGCGCTGGTGCACGTGTGGTAACCACCGTGGCAGGCATCCTATTGTGCACATGAGAACGGCTAGGGGAAAGGAGTTCACACATCACTAGCACCAGCCCCACCAACAAGGTCAACTCCCCCGTCAGGTTCCAGAAGATGACTTAACTATATTTGAATAAATGTAGATTGTTGTATTATACTTAATAAAAATAAGACATCCCCTGAAACTAAGCTCTAGTGTGTCTTCTTGAGAAAAGATAAATACAAGAGAGTGTCTTATTTTCAGGGAAACACGGTAACCATAGATTTTTTAAAAAATTCATCTCTTGATGAAAGAAAAAATGCAAAGTTTTTAAGAAATTTGGGGGTTTCAGGCTTAGCGCCTGTAGCTCAGCAGCTGGGGTGCTAGCCACATACACCAGAGCTGGCAGGTTCAAACAGGCCTGAGCCTGCCAAACAACAATGACAATTACAGCAAAAAAATAGCTGGGCATTGTGGCAGGTACTTGTAGTCCCAGCTTCTGGGAAGCTGAGGCAAGTGAATCGCTTAAGCCCAAGAGTTGGAGGTTGCTGTGAGCTGTGACTCTATGGCACTCTATGGAGGGCGACATAGTAAGACTCTGTCTCAAAAAAAAAAAACAAAAAAGAAAAGAAATTTGGAGGTTTTAGTTTAATCAGCATCTGAGAAATCAGATAATGAAAAGTGTTGTAATTTTGTATTGTAGTGGAGTTCTTCACGTGTTCTGCTCATTTCTACTGTGAATATAAATGTGCACTGTTCTGTTATTTTTTTCTGTTGTAAATTGCATCAGTGGGATTACTTCAAAGGTATTGCTCATTAACTTTCATGTTGTTTTTAGTAAAGGCTTTGATAGATCAGGAGGTGAAGAATGGCATTCCTTCTAACAGAATTATTTTGGGAGGATTTTCTCAGGTAAGATGACGTTTGTGTGTTATGTACCATCAGTGTATTTATCTAGAAGTCTGTGGTTGCAGTCCTCCTTCTGTGGAGGAGTCCCCCACAGAACATGGGAGATCTTATAGGATTGTGACTGGTATATTTACCTTTAGAGCTGAATTATGTTTGGATTGACTGGAACTAATTGCTACTTTATATACTCTTATGCTTTTGTAGTTTTCTATCTTTCAAGCAGTAGGCTTCACTGTATAGAGTGCCTTCAAAATCAGTCATTAAGTAATTGTTTGGAACCTGGCATATATCTTCTTATAATAGCCATAATACACATGTGGTCAGGTCTCTAAGTTAATGTAGTGTACCCTTTCACTTAGACAGAACTCAGACAGAACGGGCATAAGTCCCTCCTCGGAAGAGACTACTGATAGGGACAGAGAGGTCAAAGGTGAGAGTTTCTTCGTGTCTTTGTTGTATATAATGTTTCGTTTTGGCATCTGTATGCCTGTCTGTGCTTTTTCTCCACAGACACAGCTTCTTCATTCTGACCTCGCGTCTGCACTGCAGGGTAACACATTTGCCATCGAGCCCCTTCCCAGAATGTTCTAGCTCCTAATCTGTCAAAAGTTGTCTGAGTCAACTACTTTGTATTCAGAACACCTTCATTAGGGAAATGTCAGAATTCTGGGATCACTTAGAAAAGATAATTCAGTAGAAAGATATGTTGTTGAAACAATGCAGTAAACAAAGGTGTTATTGAGTAGGTTATTTATTAAAATTTATAGATAACATACATTGTAATATGCATGATGACCTAAGCATATGATTGATTCAAAATAGGAAGTGTGTATTTGATATTCATCTATTATAGTGTACAGAAACCAAGTCCTGTTACTTTATGCAAGAATTAAGCTGAGTCTTTGGCATCATGTCAAGGAAATTGAGGATGAAAATGAAGCAAGGCCTCAGAAATTAGCTAGGACTTAGAAGGCTGGCAGGACTGTCTTTCCGGCTTTGTCGCCCCTTCGTTGAGGGTTGGCCCTCTTATCTCTTGCAGCCTATAGCTTTTATGTCTCTTAAGTTTATATGTTACTGTTCCAGCCACACAAAAAGACTAACCTGGGAGAAGGAACATCGCTGTCTGAGTTGAGAAAGGCATTCATGTCTCCCGGTGCTACAGTGACCCATGGGCATGGTCAGAGCGACAGGCCTGCTGGATGGCTGGCAGGAGTGTAGCTCCCAGCACACAGGGCGTGGAGAGCTGGGAAGGCAGATACTCTAAAGGTGTCTGCTCCTTAGTCTTTACTATCTTGAATTCTTGTTTTAGAAAATAATACCAATTTAAGACTACATTAGATTTTATCCTAAAACTTAGTGTAGTTGAAAATAACTATGAATCCAGAATATTCCTAAGGCACATTGTAAACATAGCAGTTTAGTATCCTGTGGTCTCGACCAGTGGGGAGTTGGTAGGCAAGTTTTCTTTGGTGTAAAAACCGTGTGTTTCAGGACACAGTGGTATGTATTTCTACCATGTGCCTGGTTTGGTTTGACATCAACCACCAAGTTTGATTTTTTTTTTTAATGGATCTCATGAATAAGAAATCTCGTAAGTTGCTGTTGTGTATGTTCCATTCACTTTCCCTGCTTGTCTTTTCAGGGTGGAGCCTTATCTTTATACACTGCTCTTACCACCCAGCAGAAACTGGCAGGTGTGACTGCCCTCAGCTGCTGGCTTCCACTTCGGGCCTCATTTCAGGTAGCTGCTCAATGCACGGGATCATAATGGGAGAGTACTGAGCTAAGAGGGAGCAGTTAAGGTGGGGAGAGGGTCATCCTTTTTTTTTTAAGTTAATAAACTATATTCTTTAGAACCGCTTTAAGTTCACAACAGAATGGAGCATAGAGTCCCCATGTACCCAGGTCCTCACAGGGGAGCAGCCTCCCCGCTACTGACACCCGCACAGTGGTGCATCCTCTCTGATTGCTGAACCTACACCTACTCATCAGGACCACCCAACTGCATAGATTATATCTGTCACCCCTTTTTTTACAAGAATTTCCATGTAACAGAATGTCATTCTGTTGCCTGGGCTAGGGTGCAGTGACATCATAATAGCTCACTTTAACCTCAAATTCCTGGCCTCAAGAGATTCTCCCACCTTGGCCTCCCAAAGTGCTAGAAGTATAGGCTTGTCTTTGCACTTTTGTGATGTATTACTTGGCTTTATTTGTGCACTATACTGTCTTTATTGTGGATTACATAGAAACAAGAAATAAGCCTTATTGTTATAAATCTTATATTTGCAGGGTTTGGTACATTTTAGGATAGATATTTATCCTAAATAGACAATTTTTTGTTGTTGTTGTTTGGTTTTTTTTTTGTTGTTTTTTTTTTTTTGAGACAAAGTCACATTCTGTTGCCCTGAGGTTGAATGCCCTGGTGTCATCATAGCTCACAGCAACCTTAAACTCCTGGGCTCAAATGATCCTCCTGCTTCAGCTTTCCAAGTAGCTAGAACTATAGGTGCCTGTCACAATGCCAGGCTAGTTTTTCTGTTTAATAGACAGAGTCTTGCTCAGATTGGTCTTGAAGTCCTAAGCTCAAGCAATCCGCCCCTCTTGGCCCCTTAAGAATGCGAGGATTATAGGCATGAGCCACCTATGCCTGACCCAGGACTATCTTTATCACACAGAATTAATAATTTTAGGCCAGGTGTGGTGGCTCATGCCTATAAACCCAGCACTTTGGAAGGCCAAAGTGAAGGAGCACATGAGGCACGAGATCAAGACCAGCCTGAGCAGCATAGTGAAACTCCTTGTTTCTATGAAGAAAATGATCCCCATCTCTATAAAAAAAATTAGCTGAATGTGGTAGTGGGTACCAGTAGTCCCAGCTACTTGGGAGGCTGAGTCAGGAGAATCACTTAAACCCAGGAGTTTAAGGTTATAGCGACCCATAATGACGCTGGCACACTCCAACTTAGGCAACAGAATGAGACCGTCTCTCAAACAAAGGAAAGAATGAACAATTGCCTGGCATAATGTTCTACACATTTGAATAAGTAATACTGTTTTTTGTTTTATTTTTTGCAGGGTCCTATCAGTGGCGCTAACACGGATATTTCTATTCTTCAGTGCCATGGAGATTGCGACCCTCTGGTTCCCCTGAGGTTTGGTTCTCTTACTTCTGAAAAACTAAAAACATTGGTAAATCCAGCCAATGTAACCTTTAAAACCTATGAAGGCATGATGCACAGTTCATGTCAGCAGGTAGGTGTGTAGAAGCACTGATCACAGCCACAGTCGTCACTGCTTCTGAGTGGTGTTTTCAAGTACCAAATTGAGTGAGGATTTAAAATAGTTAATTAATGAATTTATATTGAATCATAGGTTAGCAGATCATGAGATAAAAGTTTATTTTATTCAGATATCTACTGATTGCTTATTTCATGCAAGCATTGTACATGTTTTAAAGGTGAATAATGAACATTTCCTTTTATTAAGATTTAAGGAAAATTAATTAAAATTGCAATATAATAGGAGAGGAAGACGTATATCTAAGTGACTGTATGGAAAGCAGAGTGTGATATGTGTTGTATTAGAAGTTTGTTTTTTGGCTCGGCGCCTATAGCTCAACCGGCTAAGGTGCCAGCCACGTACACCTAAGGTGGCGGGTTCGAATCCCCAGCCCGGACCCGCCAAACAACAATGACGGCTGCAACCAAAAAATAGCCGGGTG